GCTGGCATGTGAGGTTTGGATTGACTCTTGATGCGTTCAAGCATGACACTCCTAAATGCTTCTGCCGAAACACTGCTAAGTACAGAACGCTGTTGATGACGCTGTCCGTTATCATACCTAATTGATGCTACTTCTATCCTCACATCTTGTACTTCTTCCTTTATCTGTAGCATCATCTCCCGCGTTTCAGCAATACTGCTGCTGGAGTGAGCTCTTATTTCTCGTCCGTCACATTGTGAATGACATTATCATTCTGTTGTGATGAACTCATAACCTGTTGGACTAAATCGGTGACCTGATACGCTACTTCTGCGCAAAGTGCTGTAAATGACAGATAGGAAGGAAGGACCTGATGCTTTGAAGGTGAGTTTCCTAGTGAATGTATTCTGCTTGTAGCTATGTAGTTATGCAAATGGTTGGGAGTTTCATAGCTCCTCCTGGTTTACTTAGGTGGAGACTCAACTTGTTTCCAACAGTGTCCTTATTTGTATCCGTGCCACTACTAATACATTATGCTTCCGCTAACTCGCTGTTACAGCAAAAGTCGTCTTAACTTCATGCCATGGTATCGCCCGCCACAAAATTGCTCTTCATTAGATTCAACAGGGGTAAAATCTGTTCAGGCGTGTACTGCACTATTTCGATTAAATCTTATCAATGGGAGCGTCTCTCTCCGGCACCGTAATCGTTCCAGGCAAGGGCTTTATAGATATGCTCTTAATAATTCGACGAAAACAATAAACCGATAAAGCCCGATTTTAAGAATACCACTATTTGACAAACTTTCAAATGTTTATTGTCACCTTATTAGCAAGACGATTGGTCTCAAACAATGGAATCAGTCGAATCAGAGGGTACGTCGTGCACGTCTGCTGCAAGACCGTTGCGCTTCTCTGGTTATAGCAAAGCCACCACCACAGGAGAATGCTGTCAGGGCACTGAGTACGTACCTTGCTGACTGTAAATGCATTTATCTTACAAAGAGGTGTGGAGCAGTGAGGATAAATGCGATTCAAGAGAGCTCGCGAAACACAGCACCAATATCAAAAAGTCAATAGGAACGTCAAGACGGCGCATGGGCAATCAAATTCCTGAAGAAATTACAAATGATTCTGAACTAACGAAAGCCATAGAGCAATTGCCATGGAATTACAATTTTGAGATCCGAAAGACAGTTTGGCGTATCCGTCAGGCCGGCAGTAAACGTGTAGCGCTGCAGTTTCCAGAAGGACTTTTGCTTTACTCCTGTGTCATCTCGGATATTATCGAGCGATTTACAGGTGCCGATAGCATCATTTTAGGCGATGTAAGGTATCTCATGTTACGCTTGCAAGATGGTACAACTTAGTAACAGGAGTGCATACACTGATTCACAGGTAACGTATGGCGCTTGCTGCGTCGATGATCTTAGCGCGCTTGCGCTAGGTGCTGATTTTATGGTACATTACGGTCATAGCTGTCTTGTGCCAATTGACGTTACGTCGATTAAGATGCTTTATGTGTTTGTGGATATTGCCATTGACGTTGACCATGTACGCGGTATCGATTTTGAGCTTTTCCTGGTTTCTCACCTGGCTTAACTGATGTTTTGCCGATGAACACAGCTTATCGAATGTTTGAAGTTGACATTTCCAATGGAAACAAAGGTATGACAAGTATTTGGTGTATTGCAGCCCCTATAATTGGTCACAGAGCAAAATTTCTTACAATCGGTTTCTAGCTTGCTCTGATGGGGACGATTCAGTTCAGTAGCTCGATTCACCTGGCGGCGTCAAGACTAAAAGATTATTTTGAAAGGCTGGTGGTGCCACAAGTCAAGCCACTATCTCCGGGAGAGGTGCTTGGTTGTACTTCTCCTCTCATTGATGGAGTCGATGCTCTTGTATTTGTTGCAGACGGACGTTTCCATCTTGAGGTCTGTATTGAAGCGTTTCAAGCATTGTTTCCTTTCACTTGCACTCACACTATGGCAATGTTTAGTCAGCTATGATCATGAATCCGAGCTTGAAGGCATATCGCTATGATCCATACCCGAAGGTGCTCAGTATCGAAAAGTATGATCTTCCGCATATGATGGAAGATCGTCGTGCCGCAATAGACCAAGCTAAAATGGCTAAGAAATTTGGCATTGTGCTTGGGACACTCGGGCGCCAGGGTAATCCGCTAATTCTTGACCACGTGAAAAAAACACTGGAGCAGAGTGGCAAGGAATTTTTTGTTCTTTTGTTATCCGAGCTTTTTCCTGACAAGGTGGGAATCACCTTTGAGATGTTTGACATTAACCTGCAGTATTCACTAATATGCTGTGTTTCACCAACCAGCTTGCAAGATTCAAAGATGTTGACGCGTGGATTCAAATTGCGTGTCCTCGTCTTTCAATAGATTGGGGCTACGCATTCCCAAAGGTGAGTTGCTGATTTTTTTTTGTCATAAAATATCGCCATTAAAGATCTGATGCTGACGTATGTCAATATTCACCGTAGCCGTTGCTCACTGCGTATGAAGCCGAAATCTGTTTTGAGCGAATACAATGGAAAGAAGATTCATACCCAATGGACTTTTACGCCAAAGGCAGTGGACCATGGACAAACTACCACGATCAAAAGAAAAGAGCTGTGTAAGTCTTTAATAGGTCGTTTTGCTTATTGCCAATAATTGTTTTCGTCAAGAACTTAAAATCTCCTCTGATAATGATATACACGTCAAGTAATTAAATCTGCGAACGTGTTGTACTGTTAACAGGCAGTATCAAATTGTTTTAGCTGCAAGTCAAATTTCAAATTCGTTAAAGACAAGTTGATACCTTGGGCTGAGCACATGTTCCGTTGGAGGACTGCATACGCCCTCTGGAGGCAGTTTAACGCTGCGCAGTGCATCTGGGTGAATTTTTAGAATCTCCCTAAATACAAGCTCACGACACTGTCAAAAATCATGAGTCACACAAACTTAAACAGGAATACACACTCAAAAATAAGCTCTTTCAGCCGCGATTCCGTCAGGTCTTCTTTTTCAAAATCGAAGCTAAAGCAACTTTCAGCCACAGGCTCATCCTCTAAATTATGAAGGGATGCCAAGTACGGATGCTCAAGCGCTTCTTCGACCGAAATACGCTTTGCGGGGTCAAATTTAAGCATACGTTGAAGCAGCTTAAGAGCCTCGGGAGATGCCTTTGGAAACAATTTACTAAATGGAACACCAGGTCTCATGGGTTGATTTTTCATAAATCGTTTGGCTCGTTCGCTGACAACAAAATGTAGATCTTCTTCACAAGGAGTTCCAATTTTGTCACAAATGATTTGCAGCTGGTGAATATAATCGTCACCTGGAAAGAGTGGCGTGCGACCAAGTAATTCTGCAAATATACAACCAGTGGACCAAATATCGATTGCCTTGGTATACTCTCTAGATGAAAGCATAATTTCTGGCGCGCGATACCAGCGTGTGACGACGTACTCAGTCAACTCCATATTGTCTTCCTCTGGAGCGACACCTCGTGACAGGCCGAAATCACATACTTTTAAGTCACAATTTGAATTGAGCAACAAATTTGACGGCTTTAAATCTCGGTGAAGTACATTCGCCGAGTGAATGTACTTGAGTGCTCTCAAAATCTGGTACAAAAAGTACTGTACATGTTCGTCAGTAAGTGGCTGCCTCGAGTATATAATTCGATGCAAGTCTGTTTCCATCAGATCGGCGACAATGTAGACATCTTCAAACTGTGCCCAAGACGGTGGTGGTAATAAATCCAGTATTGTTATAACATTTTCGTGGTCAAAATGTTGCAAGAGCTTAATCTCGCGCAAAATACGTTTGGCATCCACAAGGTCTTCAAAGGCTCTCGAGATTTTCTTGACAGCCACCTTCTCCTTTGTTTCGGTGTTTTCAGCCGAACTGGGAAGTAAAGATGAGATAAAGTTATAAAGTCCACAATAAAAACAAGCACATATCATGACAAACTTTCTTACACGACAACGCCATAGGCTCCACGACCAATAACCTTGACGAATTTGTACTTTTCATCAATTTGAAAGTTTGTTCCTGCTACTACAAACGAGTACGTTCCTGGACGAGCGGGAGCAGCAACGACTGTAGAAGTGGTGCTGAGTTTGGTCGTGGAGCTGACTGTACTACAAGCGCCAACAGAAGCTGAAGTCTTATAAGATGCATTGACTTTATGTCCACTTGGCAATCCATTTGCTGGTAAAGTCTTTGAAGATGTGAGGGGCGGGGTTTCGGTAGACTTTAGTGGAGAAGATGAAGCTGATTTCGTTGGCGTAAAGCTGGCCATCGTATCGCGAAACCTCTGGATGCCTTGTGTGAGCCGCCGCGAGTTTAGATACAACGTAAATAAAACTAAATATAAGCAACGCGATCAAAGCACCCATTGAGGTTCTTGGTTGTCTGAGTGGATTATTGGCTCACTTTGTTATTAGTATTTTTTTAGCGCCAGTGTATAGGTCAGTACGAGCAGTCACCATTGCAACAATTGAGGCTTGCTTCAATATTGGAACTGGTCGTTTCTCGAAAGACCCGTTTAAAATTTTTATCGCAACTTCAGAAGCCAATAGAGCTTATAATTGCGTCCATAGGGTAGAATGACAGCCTGTCCAAACAAACGAAATCTCAAATTAGAAGCTTTGACAGATTGTCCAGAAAAGACTCTTAGCTTACGTTATATTCGCGAAATAGAAAAACTACCAAAGTAGAAGTGAAGCGTAGCATTGTGGCCGAAAAGGGTAGTAGAAGCAATTTAGCCTAAATTCTGAAAAATGTCTGACTAGTCATTCATTTTGGACGCTTCAAAGTCAAATCGCACACATTTTGGAGGGTTCCCGAAGGCTTTGTAGATCAAAAAAATGAAGCAGGCTGTGCCCTTCCATCGGCAATCACAGCTGCTCAATCATAAAATAAATTTCTTATTAAATACCAAAGTCGCAATGATTATTACACTGCTGGTTAACTATTGGGTAAGTTCTCAGTCCTCATTGCCTGTTGCCAGTTACACGTCTCCTATTGCAATTATGCGGGTGATGTGTTATTGCAGCTGTTGATAACGTGGTGATAATTGTCTGCTTCTATCGCAGCAGCATTGCGCCGCAGAGCTACTCGTAGCTGTATAAGTCACGACGATGACGAGTGAAAATTTAAAGGCGAAGCAGGCAGACTTGATAATTTGATTGCGCACTGGCTTAAAGTTGTTCATTTCTACGACACTGGTACAGATCAGATGCATGTCAAAAAATGGGACCTAGTGACAGCTGTAGATGACAATGCTCTATGGGTTTATCCTGTTCGATGCTGCATACCAAAATAGTGAAGCTGGGAGCACTGATGTATATACATCATTGTACACACTGCTGTAAAATTTCGCACAAATTATACGACACTGTGTAATAGCTCTATTTTATTGATTGTCCGATGTTCTTGGCACTTCTCGCACAGACACCGACAACATACAAGAATGGAGCCATGACTGCCATCGCATCACTGTTGGAATTTTCAAATGAGCACCTGTAGATAAGACGAATGCAGGTTGTCAGGCATCACCACACTTGAGAAAGAATAAGAAGTCATACATGAACAATCCGCCAGCTCTGCCGTCAAAGCTACGTCCCTCCTATAAACCCCGATTATTTTTTATAAACTAACGAACACGTTCTTAGACGAACGGAATTATTAATCATTATGATGCTCATCGGAAAACTGTCTTCAGTTTGAAACCAGCATTAACCGAAATCGTGTGTGAGGGCGGCGAGATCAACAAATTAGTGCATTTTGATTTGGAGAAGAAGCTGAGCTCACCGCATTTCATTGATAATATCATAATCGAATTCAATTTAGAAGCCACTGTGCTTAGGGTAGACCGACCAGTCTCGAGAATCATGCAGATCCTATGATTGAGGATAAATAATATAACGTGAATTCGTCCATGTAATAAATGAAACATCAGCGCGTCGCGCTAGCAATCACCAAAGCTATGCTATGGCGTGCGAGAATGGACACCCGCATGCAAGAACTCGGTAAATGCGGCACTCTCACCTATAGACGATTTGAAGCGACAGAGATCGCACGTGTTCGCGTCGCCTTTTCTCGACGTACTGGATGCGTTGAGTTCTTGTCAATACATCACGGAAGACAATACTAGCGGAATATGTCCAAACGATAAGAGCTCTTATCACCGCAACGGCGTCTGACCCTCTCCCAAAGTGATAATGTCAGCCATCGTTACGGAGGGGTTTAGAATAGGTATGTATCGCCTCATGACATCCCGCGTCCACTCTACCTTTCTGAGAAAGCTGTGGCAGTATAAGTATAGCTTTTGTATCGCGAGGGCCGGTTGAGACACTGCGAGGCAGGCTCTATGGATATTTTTGTAGCTATGCACCTTGACTATATCAAAGAGAATATAATTATACATATTAGCTGCCGATCAGACTCGCGGAATTTGCAGATCTTTTGAATGTGGTTTGCCACTTTCGTGCCGCATTGTCTCATGGTTGAGAGGTTTGAAGAGTTGGGGTCTCACGAAATGGATATCTCGAGGGGGTAATACAAGTCTCTTTAGACGCATGGCGGCCTAAACGAAAAAGCTGGGTTTTCATTGTACCTCATGAAGATCGTGGTCGATGGAAATGAAGTGACTCTCATTAGGAAATGTGGGGCTCACAGCGTTTGCTTGTTGATCGTAAAATCCCCGGGAACTGTGAAACAAAAAAGAAAATGTTATGATGGAATCAAAACTAATGCCCACTTACGAACGATGCGTGACTGTCGAAAGTAGTAGACAATACGCGGAGAAATTAAATTATCAACGATGGATACGTCATCGCGTGTATTGGGATAGGAGCATTTACAAACTGTCAAAGGTTAGGCTAAATCTTCAAGTGAAAATTAAGGACTTCGACAATGTGGAATGTTGTCTCATCGGTGACTTAGATTCAAAAACTCTTCAAATTTAGGCTAGCGCGCTACAAGCCATGGGTCGACGGGAAGTCGGACAAGTTTGATGTCGTGCACTTCTTTCTTAGTGAAGCTTTAACGATTCATAAACTCACCTTTCTCAGGAAGCAGAAACGCCTTTGAGATTGGTTAAATTTGAAAGCAAAGATAGCGCCGGGTATCTCAAGCAAAAATCCTTTTATTTTTTGTTAAAAAAATGTCGCTCTCGAATAGGAGAGTTTGCCATTAAAAGAGTTCGTTTCCAATGCTGATATTGTGTTCACGGCAAACCCTGTTGCTTAGGAAGCAATTTGACGTCATTACGGCTTCTTCTTTTAAGGTAGGGGATGAACTTTCGCGTCGCCTCAACTATTAATTGCCATATGTCAGAACGGAAACGTCACTGCCATATCTATGGGTCAAACGCATTGTGTGTTGCGTTGATAAAGATTTGGGAAGCAAGTAGACTGAAAGCCTAAATGCTGCTATATTGAAGCGCTTGGTTGCAAGTCTGTAGCTTGCTTCATGCTCTCTCAGTACTCAATGTACAGTGGTGTCTGATCTCCACAAGTACGAAATACTGTACAAAGCACATGATCCTTAAAAAGAAAAAAAGCACAATTGGCCCAGTGATGAAGTACATATCTGCGCACGTCCCTAGCTACATGTGCGATAAAACCATTGGCCGGCCTACCGGTTCCGACGGAGATATCGTCAGTTAATAAGTCTGGACTTGATTTTTGGTAATCTAAAAGATACATCCGGAAATACCGACATTACCGTCTCTATGGATCGTCTGGTCAAGATTGCACATATCGCTGTTGTCAGCAACGCTCTTACTGGCGAGGATACCCCGAACCGCTCCTTGGCAAAGATTTTCGCCAGCAAGCCTTAACGGTAGTCATTACGATAGAGATCCGCACTTTGCAGTGAAGCTTTGTCGGACATTGTTTAAGGTTTTGGGCGCAAGATTGAACATGTAAACGTCTGACCATCGACAGGTAGACGGTCAGACAGAATATGTTCATTATATAATATTGAATATTCTCGAAAAGACTTGTGTAAAGAGATCGCCTGGCTTAAGCAAATTTCCCACAGTAATGAAGTTACACAGTACATGCCTCTACAGGCTTAACCTCATCTTGCATAAATAGTTTGCTGAAGTCCTTTGATGTCTTTGGCACCACCACAAAGGGGCTTTAGTTTAATTGGGGCTGTCGAAAAATTTGGGTTGCTGACATCAGTCTGGCTACCCTCGAAAGTAGCTCATTCGTTTCATTTCCAATAACCTACGTAGTGCACGACGCTATAAATGAGAGTCAGGATGTGCATAAGCAACACGTCGATGTCACAGGCAGGCAAAAAAATGTGCGCCAAAAGATTTGTCACAACATTAGTTATACACCTACACAGGCGGTTTCTGTGGTCTTTAAGGCCGAGATGTGGCTGCGCTACATCGGACTCGCATCATTTTTTATTCTATACGTTCATAATAAATTCAAACACATCCCGTGTATTACGTGGGCTTACTGAAGTCATATTATGACCCCGCTCTGTCGAGCCAGTTTGATTTGAAGAGCTCTTCAGTTAATGTATCTAAGTCTCTACCATCATTTAAATCTTACGCACCCTTTGCCCTCGAGAAATGATATGGTTCGGGATGCTTCTACCCACGCTGTGAGATGACAAATTTCTGATAGATTATCCGTGATGTTCCACATCTCATTTTCGAACACATTCCACGAATCTCGAAGAGTGTCGACATTACGTTAGAGCCGAGATAGCTTTCGAGAGGCAGCCGCGAGAAGGTTGTCTTCTGCTGGCACTTTTCAGTGACCCACTTCGCGTGCAACGTCTAGCAGAACGGAAGCTTTATATCACCAGTATCTGGTGACATGGAAGTAATACCCTTATCCGGAATGCTACGAATATTTATGACTGTAATTGGTATGATTGACCCGGCGCTTTTGCCGCTTCCGACATGGCGCACACCACGCTCATATCTATCTAAAGAAGAGACAAGGTCGCTCATCGAAACACCCTTCCCACTGGTGAACGTGGACTGACCTCAATGTCAGGGCGACTATTGTTTGTTGGCTCTAATAGCTATCATGGAAACGAGTAGGTTGTAAGTATTCGGAGCTGAAGGTGATGGTCTTATCTTATTCGCATATTTGCATCATTTGACGATAGTTCAAACTCCAACTAAAGCTGGATTTGGAAGTGGGTGACATGGCGCGTTTTTGTCATCTAGAGCGCGAACTGAGTTTGATATTCATCGAGACTCTCGCCAGCTTCAAGTACCCAAGGTACAATCCTCATGGAGAGTACGAAGTTCCCAAACGGATGATGTTCTTAGCACAGGTGATATTTTTGAGAAGTGATAATATGTGTGATTTGGATGAGCGCTCGCAAAGTGACCTTCGGGTGCTTATTTTTGCTATTTGTGTGAGTAGAAGGCCCGCTCGCAAAGTTGTGTAAGGGTACCCCCTAGCGCGGCGAGCAACCTGTTTAAAGCCGTTGTCACGACGTGAAGATAATATCAGAGTCAGTATTACTTTTGCGTTAGCAAGTGAGAAAGCTGAACACACTAAGCTAGTTTCAGCTCGTTGGTGTTGAGTGAACGTCGTCATGATCTCAAGGGCAGAGAATCGCAACAATTTCCTCCTTTCGATATGGGAACGGAGTACGTAACTCGTGTTGAACACTGCGAGGGTCTCCTCCTCAGCGAAAATCTTGGCCTTGTATCGTCATGGGAGGTGCAGGTGTCTGCCTAGGACTTGAAAATTAACTTAGACCATATTCATCGAAGAATACCCGGAAATCTTGCCGAGAATTGCTTCCAGAACTTCAGTCGCAAGGATTGTTGAGACATTCGTTTAAGTACACGGGTGAGCACTTCGGGTGCGGCTATGCTCAGAGGAGCCGGCACGGGAATTCGCTCGCGGTAGGGTGAAACTGTGCGTTACAGTCAGCGCTCAACGAGCATCGAGCAGCCGCTGCGCTCAGGTGTCACAAAAAGAAAGAAGCGTTGAGGACCAGTGTGATCAACATCTTAGTGGGGAAGTAACCAGGTACGATTTGTACTATTGTCTTACACTTTTTGCAGCGGGGCTGCCGTAGCTTAGCGCTTGAGGAAGCGTTATTTAGGTCACCGACGTTTCGTTCTATAGTTAGAACAAGTACGAGTTAGCGGATCGCAATTCGCTTACTCCAAGAGTAATTATTGCCTTACC